CACAGTGATCCCTCAAATTATAGACCCATTTCATTGACCAGTTGCGTTTGCAAAACCATGGAACGCATGGTCAACAATAGATTAACATGGTACTTGGAATCAAATAATTTAATTACAAATATTCAGTGTGGCTTTCGAAAGAATCGAAGTACCGTTGACCATTTAGTACGGTTAGAATCATTTGTGAAAAATGCAATCATTACTAACCAGCATGCAGTGTCTATCTTTTTCGATCTAGAAAAAGCGTATGACACAACGTGGAAACACGGGATTTTAAAGGATTTACATGATTTTGGATTGAGAGGCCGTTTGCCTGAATTTATATCCAAGTTTTTAACTGGCAGACAATTTCAGATCCGCGTGGGCTCCACCCTGTCTGATCATTATCATCAGGATCAGGGTGTCCCACAAGGCAGTATTTTGTCTGTCACTTTATTTAGTATAAAAATAAATAGTCTTTCAAAGGTTTTAAGTGATTCAGTAGATGGATCACTTTTCGTGGATGATTTAAATGTTTCTTGTCGAGGAAAAAATATGCATACAATAGAGAGGCAGTTACAAATCTGTCTCAATAAAATTCATAAATGGTCCCTCGAAAACGGGTTTAAATTTTCGAAATCAAAAACTAATTGTATACATTTCTGCAGAAAATATAAGCCGCATAAGGACCCTGAGCTCTATTTAGATGGCACCCATATCAAAATTGTTAAAGAGGCCAAGTTCTTGGGCCTTATTTTTGATAGTCATTTAACTTTCCTTCCGCATATTAATTACCTTAAAGCTAAATGCCTGAAGGCACTCGATTTGTTGAAAGTAGTTTCAAATTCTAAGTGGGGAGGTGATCAAACAACCCTCCTACACTTGTACAGGTCATTGATCCGTTCAAAACTCGATTATGGCTCCATCGTCTACGGTGGAGCCTGCAAAAGTAACTTAAAAAAACTCGATACTATCCATCATCAGGGCCTAAGGCTTTGCCTTGGAGCCTTTAGGACGTCACCAATTCACAGTCTATATGTAGAAGCGGATGAACCTTCTCTTAAACAACGCCGTCTGAAATTAGCATTACAATATGTCACTAAATTATATTCAAATCAGTCAAATCCAGCTTTTAATTGCATCTTTAATCCTCTTTACCAAGATATTTATAATAAAAAAACGTCTCTTGTTCCACCACTTGGAATCAGAATCCAGTCTGCCATGTCTGCCGCTAATATTAAACTGCAATATATAGCTCCCTTTCAACTGTTTTCATCACCTCCTTGGCAAATGGTAAGGCCAGTAGTTGATCTCACATTAACCAAATTAAAAAAATCTGAAACAAATCAACTAATTTATCAACAACAATATAATGAATTAAGGAGCACTTATGATACTTACAATTCCATATTTACAGATGGATCCAAGGATGGTGACGCTGTTGCCAGCGCCACTGTCATTGGATCCAGAACCATATCAACTAGATTACCGAATGACAGTTCCATTTTTACAGCAGAATCGGATGCAATATTAACTGCTCTCAAATATATCAATAATAAATCTAAACATAAACGGTTCATTATCTTTTCTGATTCACTTTCCTGTCTTCAGGCAATTAAGAATATATCTTGTAAACATCCACTTTTACGTGAAATTATAGAACTACATAATGATCTTGCTACTGGCCAATACGACATCGTCTTTTGTTGGTTACCAAGCCATGTTGGTATCACTGGTAACACAATGGCTGATGCTGCTGCTAAAGCAGCACTCACCAAATCTGTGACACCACTTCTCATCCCCTATAGTGATTATAAACCTATCATTAGATCTTACATCCGTGATCGGATGCAAAAAAAGTGGGACACCCAAGTCGGTATCAATAAATTACATGCAATTAAACCAAATATCGGTTACACCTACTTGGGTTGTCAGTCCAGATTTGAGGAGGTCATAATACGACGATGTCGTATTGGCCATAGCAGGTATACAACTGAATTTTTATTAAAAGGTGAGGATCCTCCATTTTGTATCCCTTGTGATGAGAGAATCACCGTCAAGCATGTCCTGCTTGATTGTGTTGATTTTTCCATCACAAGGGATAAATATTTCAAAGTTTCATCCTTAAAGGATCTTTTTAGTATCAATGCTCGTTTAATTATTGCCTTTTTAAAAGAAATTGAATTGTTACATAAATTTTGATTGATATGTTTTGTATATAATATAGTTTTTATACTTGGTAAAATAAATTTGATGACTGAGATGACTGACTGGCTGTATCCTTGAAGGGGGTTGAAGTAACGTAAAATTATTGTCCCCCTGAGAGGATATGTAAGACCACATCATTCAAAGTACATTTATTCTTGCCACAGTTTTAGACGTAGAATATTTGTTTATTTTAAGTGTTGGCTAAATTGCATATAATCACCAGCGGCTGAAGGGATGGTGTAAATCCTGCTGGGGAGTCGTGCAGGTAGCAAAAGTATTGTAAGTCCCCACGGTCCCCAGTAAGGTGGCCTAACTTTGGTTGCTGGTGATCTATAGCCCATTTTTATATTGTATTGTTGATTGAAAATGTATTCTTTTAAATGTTCTCAACTAGTTTTAAAATCCAAACTGTGATACTCTAGTTATTTTTACTGTCCTTCGATGACAGATATTTAATCCATTCAAATCTTTGTATTTTATATCAGTTCTCGTCACGATATGGCTGAAATACTGCCGATGTGACGTTAAATATTAACTCACTCACTCACTCACTAAAGAGTCATAACCCATATCATCAAATTTTCGAATAATGTTTTGTAAAATAAAGGGTGATCGGAGTTGTGATACACTGTGGTGAGTGCAAACTTTATACCGTCAACCGTAATGTCTAAAATAATATAATTACCATTATCGTCAACACAAGCCTTGTGTATTTTATAATAAAAATTGTTGTTGAAGAGGATTGCTACACCTCGTGCATTTGACTTGTATGGTTCGATAACACTTTCAAGACCCCATTAATTTTTCACGAGATTTTTATTATCTTTGGAATTATGAAAATCTTGCAAACAAATGATAGATCATTTCTTTTTTCAATATAAATTCATGACTTCTTTTCGTTTGGTCTTTGTGGCTAGGCCTCTACAATTAGCTGAGACTATATGTATTTTATCACTTACTCCCATGTACTATTAATCCATCTTTCTTTTGAAATATAGTGTTATGTACCCACTGGAATGGAGTGAACGTCAACTTGATAATAGCTGTGTTTGTTACAACAATGCAAGAATAAAAAACAATCTATTGGTAATGCTGAGATTCTGGCTGCAATGGACAGAATAAACTGTTTTTCAACAAACAATTTAGTGCGAAAGAAGCGAGAATGACTAAGATTTTGACCGCTGTGCTGAAACAAGAGACAGAAAATATAGAAGAAATTCAAGGCACAAACAATGATGCTTACAGATAAAGTTAAACAACTTGAGAAATCACAACTAGGAAATGTGATGTTCCACCTCTCTGTTACACATCTCTGTTCAACATAATAGTATTGCTGTTTTTGGTTAATTCTTGTCATTGTTGTATATATGGAATTAGATAAGGTTGGTAGTTTGCCAGAAAAACCTAGAACTTCCAGCGGTAAGTATTTGTTAAAAGCCTTATTCGAATGATGCACTGCAGTCCCTCTGGGATGTGGTTACTGAGTGCAAACGGAAGTGGTTAAAATGTAATTCTCCTCTCAGTAAAAAAAAAGCAAAAGTATGTTTTTGAAAGAAAGTTTTGGGATAAGCTCTGGAGAAAGTCAAAACGCTCTTATCAAACGTAAGAACAACAGCGCCTTTTAGACAAATACCAGCATAAAGATTCTCGTGAGTCTTGGAAAGCAATTGTTAAATTTGGTATTGCCAATGATCGACGTGGTTCTATACCATGGGAGGTAATTACGGATGGCGTGATTGCAACTGACAAGTATGTTGTCCTGGAGAAATGGCAATCAGACTATTTTTCACTGTACAATACCGCCCCTGCTGGTTTGTTTGAGGAACAATTCCTTGAGAATATTACGGAAGAAGGTAATACGTTTTCTGTCAAATCCGATATTAATGACATCAGTTGCCTCAATGCACCGATAACCCGTTTCATGTTATGACTGTTATCTACCGGGCCTAAACGCGGTAAAGCTTGGGTTTAGATCGTATTCCTGCTGAAGCTCTGAAAAAACAATTATTTTGTTACTTTAAAGTTCAACATTTTACATATTGATTTAATAATAACATCTGTCCAGAAAAGTGTCGTGATAGTTCAATTTCTCTCATCAGAAAGCCCGATACTAACGTAAGAAATCCTTTGGGTTATCGTGGTATATCATTGATATCTATTCCATATAAACTATATTCTGATTTAATGAATCTCCGTTTTGACTCTAATGCGATATTGGCTGAAGAACAGAAAGGCTTTCGCGTCGTCTTCAATACCAGGAAATTATAATTAATACAACCCTTCTGGCAATCTGGGTAATGCAGGAGGCTGCAGTGATGGGGAGTCTGCACATTCTCTAAAATGTTCTGGGTTGTTTTGACAAGGCAGCCCTTCCTGGGAGAAGTCCCATTCGCTGTCTAGGCTGCGTGTAGAGGGGGTAAGGACCCTGAGCTGATGACGAGCCTAACCAGCCTGACTGTGCCAGGGTCACCCAGATCTTCTTTGCTGCATTTATTTATTTAAATATGCATTCTAGTAATATATTAACATATTATATTATTAGCATGTGTTTAGGAATCACTGTCACTTGGTGATGAGGTGTTCGTGAAAACGTGTATGTCCAAGATAAATAGTGAGAGAGTGAGTATGGTATTATTCCAGCAACGTAAATGGGCTTCACACATTGTACCCATTGTGTGGGGAACCGAACTCGGGTCACCGACGTGACGAGCGAAAGCTTTAACCACAAGGCTACCCCACCGCTCCCAAAAATAAATATGTTTTGTGTACTCAGAGTACTTCTTTCACGTTCTATGAACAATATCAACCCTCACCTGTCGTTAAGCTGTAGTACTCGGTGCCTTCCTCTTGGTCTCCGTCCCCGGGTGACATGAACAACACGTCATGGAACTGACACCGTCGGTGTTTCTGTATGTAAAACACAGACACACAAGCTTCATTTTGGAGACACAGAAGTAAACATAGTTTACCACTGTAAATATTTGAAATTTCAGACGTGACGCTTGTTGACACAAGAACATTGTCAAAATCTTTCCATTTAACTCCAGATCCCGTCCTTATCATAGCAGGAGTATAATGCACTAAGCAAAGGACAATTAGCTTCAGAATCATTACGTCCATCTCAAATAGTTGCCAGTCAGTGTGTGGCGAGAAGCTTTGAATTAGATCTGAACAGTGTGAGGTTAGCGACACAAAATCAAAGCGTGAATACATCTGTTGTTGAGCTGTTGCCATGGGTTCAGCTTCAGTGACATCAGCGGGTTTTGTTGCTTTGTTCTGGGTATACGTATAGAAACATGAGTCAGTGTGTGGATGTTGTTCAATGCTGCTGACAGTGAAATATAATGTCAGTCAATGGATAGGAGTTGATTGTTCTTAGTGACTGTGCCACGCATGCTTCTGCCCCACCATTACTGGTCGGACAGACACTAATATAGCAGCAGGCCGCGCGCTTGTGCGTAAAGTTATGTGGCTGCACCGGCCATACGAATATGTTAATAAATATAAATAAATATATATATATATTGAGAGAGAGAGAGAGAGAGAGAGAGAGAGAGAGAGAGAGAGAGAGAGAGAGAGAGAGAGAGAGGGAGGCTATGATTAGAACATATTTACTCCTAAAAACTGCGTTCTGTTCTAAACATATCCGATAATGGACACCTGTAATGATATACATGTATGCTAGACATTAACAGATAAATGTTATGTGAACCTTTTTTTTATTTCTTACCACAAATTGATAATGTTTTACTTGAAATCATCAAAAGGTATTTTTAAAAAAATAGCTTCGGATCTGCTCACTTTTACTCTCTTCGTCAACACCTACAAGTGTATTACACCGTACAATCGAACACGCTCTTCCTACGAGCGTCATAAGACTTGATCAAAAGTTGTTTGACCAACGTTGCAACATTTATGGCCTCAGTACGAAACCGACCATTTTGATATTCTCCGGGGCCTGGGATTTTTTCGACCAAAATATATTGTCCCCGAAAATTCTCGAAAAATGTAATCATGCTTCAGGCTGTGACAAAAAGAAATTGCCTGCCCCCAAAATACTATTGTTTCAAGGTGTTTTTCTTAAAAAAAAGATTCATGCTCAAAGTTTTAAATAAAAAAAATAAATCTGGTTTTGTAACTGTAGCTGAACAAATATCTAATCTCAATACAAAATCCCAGGTCCCCACCGGAATGTCAATGGTCGGTTCCTAAAGCTTTGTGTTTGTGACGAGTGCAACCGGTGTGGCAGGATACGCTCAACGTTTCAAAAAGACCTGTTACCAACACTATTAATAGTGATTCATTGTGTGTTCACTGAAGAGCACGGCTCTGTATCTGCAGAACAAAGGCTTGAATAGACTTTCTGTGCTGGTCTCTGTGAATAAAGCAAACACTGATTAATTGACTCTGGATGCCTTGTATGACTAAAAGGTTTAGGTTTTTAATCAAAGGGGTACCTGCTTAACCTAATCGGAGGATAAAGTGACTAAGGTTTATTTAAGCGCTTCTGTCAAAACGAGATGACAAGTACTAGGAGGCGGGAATTGATCCAGATATCGAACCTGGCTATACCCACTAGGGTCCTGTGACACCACACTCGCAGTGATTTGGTATTTACAGAGTGATATCTTTGTTTAATGCATGTGGTATAGCACGTTTTAAATTCGTTTCTTTAGATATATGCCCACAAATTCAAACCTCTCTCCACAGGGTCTTTGAAAGGCATTTAGAAGTGATACACATAAGGAAGAGAATATATGGATGTCAACTTCTTTATTATTAGGAACACAACGTTTCGGAGTATATGCTTACTCCTTCATCAGGTGAATGAATGCCATGAGGCAGAGAACATATATATATATACAAAATGTCACTCAGTGTACACTGAAGAGCTGTCATGAGACAGCGAAAGTACTATGTATGAAACTGATATAAAGAAGATGGACTAACGTGGACTTTATTATTTTATTATATATATATATATATATATATAAAACGACAACACAATTAAAAGATAACAAAAGGTGGAAAATAACAAAGAGTGAAGCTAACAAAGGAAGCCAACAGATGATTGGCGCTGATAGGTGACTAGCAATAGACAATGGAAGACAACACTTAAGTTATCATAGCTAAGTAACTGGTAATGGACACTGGGCATACAAGGTAATTAGCACTGATAGGTAAAAGAATGGACATGATGTTATTGTTTTCGTTCTTCAGGATGTGTTCGGAAATAGCGGATTTTCAGGTCGAGTTCGTTCTTGGTCCGATGTTCTTTGAGACTTGTGTTGAGGGGTCTAAGGGTTTCTCCAATGAACTGGTGGCCTCAGTTGCAGGGTATCTGGTATATACATCCTCGGGGGTTGGGACTTGGGCTGCTTGTGCCTCTGCCATTTGCTTGTAGATGGGTCTTGATGAACTTGCCGCTATAGTGAAGGAGACATCTATGTTGGGTTTGTTCATGATAAGGCGGGAAATCTGATGAGTGACGGGGCCTTGGTAGGGAATGGTTCTGGTTTGGGCCTGGAGTCGGAGTTCTTGAGGGTCTTGCGGGTGGGTTTTGAGACAAGGTGGGCAGGATAGCTGTTGAGGGAAGTGAAGTGTTCCTTGAGATGGTCCAGTTCACTGCACAGGGTATCAGGATGGCAAATTGATTTGGCACGTTGGGTGAGGGTGGCGATGAGGGCTTGTTTTATCTGGGGATGGTGGCAGGAGTTGTAGAGGATGTTCTGGTCTGTGTGTGGAGGCTTGCGGTACACTGATGTTCTTAGTCCATCATCTGTGGTTTGGATGGACACGTCAAGGAAAGGAAGGTGTTAATTAGTTTCGGTCTCCATGGTGAACTGGATTCTCTGATTCTGGGCGTTGAGATGTTTAGGGAGCTCTTTGGGGTCGTTCTGGTGGACTATGGTGGTGAATGTGTCGCCTACTTTTCGGTACCATCATAGGGGTTGGAATGGTGGGCTGGTTCGTCAAGCTACCTACCTAGCTGGCTTCAATGTTCCCTCTGCAGGGTGAACAGGCTCACTGACTTGCTTCATGCATGTCATCATATCTCATTTGAGGGGATTGATGCTTATAATATCGATCACTGGATTGCCTGGTCCAGATTATTTACAGACCGCCGTCATATAGCTGGAATATTGCCGAGTGCGTCGTTAAACAACAAACAAACAAACACAGTTGGACAAATTCATAAACATGTTTCAATTGAATGCCATATCTGCCGTCGCACTGTCGTTTCAGTAAACATTTACATATTTATTTGACAAGAATACTACGCACATTTATTTCATTGATAAGGTTCAAATATCGACGCAAGAGGATAACGACGCCACAGGACGATCCAAGCTTGTGCACAGGGACGGAAATGACACAAAACAGCTTCACGACACCACATCAATCGACGCACTGTGATACGTCTTCGTGTAGCAGGTATTCAACCCTACCGCCCCTTCAGTAGATTGGCCTTGACCCTTAACAAAGTTGAAGACGGCACTTGTCAAGGGCATTGCAAAGCTGGCAGATCCGTGACTAGCAAAGAGTTCCTTTTTGTGACGAAAGGAGAGTACAAAACATGTTATAAGTTAACAGGGAAAAGGAGAGATTTTACGTGGATAAAGGGTCACTTTAGAAGTTGCAAATATCATATAGTCTGGATATCACAGATATTTGGAACAGTTCTTGATCCTCACCGGACAGGGAAATAGGAGGCTGACAGGACAGTAGACTTCAGACAAAATCAGTTTCGGATCTATCTTGGAGTTGGACCCTGAGACACAGGGCCAATGTTGATGATGTGACACCACAGCATGTCTCGATGCTAAACGTCAGATTTGTGACACGTGCGTTGTATACATGACCACGTGCCACCACTTCATAACATTTGCCTGATTTACGCCCGAAGTCAGACAGGAAGCCGAATGTCATATCCTTGGCATAGAGAGGAAATACCGCAAACGTTATGGCGTCTTCTAAGCAATCCACAGGTCGATCAAACCTAATATCAAGATGCCATATTCTATAAATGCGATACTGATTACACATGAACGGCAACTTCATGAAACCCCCCCCCCCCCGGAAAAAAAATAAAAAACAACAATAAAAAACAAAGGAAAAACAAACAAATAACAACAAACCCCCTTCCTCCCGGAATTACAGCATTGTCTTTCCATACAAAACACACTTTGTTCCGCCATGATATTGTTTTCCACAGTAAAAAAAAAGTTTATGATGATAATAAACATATTGTCAGCAAAGAAAGAAACCATTCTTGAACAAATATTTTCGGTAACCGTCAAGAGTCTGAAGTTCCCAAATTTAACATTACATTATACACTATAAACAAAACGTATATTGCGCTATTGTGATTATTATTTGGCATCAGTAGCTCTTCCATTTCGCATTCACTTAAACAAAATTAAGTTTTAATGATAGCTGCACGAAATGTTGGCAGAGTCAACAATAAAACTCGAAAGAAGAATGCAGATAACGCTCAGATTGGAATTAGACTGTGGCAATCTCTAACAAAGTCAACACAAACACCAGACACGCCAAAGCAGTTTTTATAGCAGCTCCACAGGTTAGGATACTTATTCTTTTGCGACAACACCTTGACCAAGAATTTTGTCTGACTAAAACACACACAATAATTAATGTAAAGAGCACAGAAATTTCAAGGGAGTTTTTTAACTGTATTTTTAGCCTTAAAGTAAACTTTTAGTTTGACAAATGAAATACCTTCAAACAATAAGAGAGGTAATATGATGAGTAAGATGATGATCACTGTCCTTTTTTGAGAATATATCTTTGTTTAGAAAATGCCCCACCAAACCAAAATATTTATTGAGTATTAGATATGAGAATTACCCTGGAGTTAAAAGGTGTTTGTCACCATATATACGATATAAGAAGAGACAACGAGG